AAGAAAAAAGAATCTAATCTTTTAAGAGCTGTGGAAAAACTTTGAAAAATAAAAAATGGCTTCTTTCATTGTAATCAATATTCTGAATGCCTATTTTCCACTGAGTTTTGGTAAGCATGGAATTTATGATTAGTGAGGAAAAGAGAAACTTAATACTTACAACTGTGCTAAGTGTCATGAGAGAGAAATACTAAAAGCAAGAGTGGCATAAATCAGGAGAAGTCAGGTACTGTGAGGTACTGTCAGGTACTGTGAGGACAGCTCAGGGGAGGCAACAGAGAGAACAGAAGTCCAGTGTGATGGCAAGATTGCTTCAGTGTTCTGAAGTTACTCTGCTGATTTTCTTTTCAATTTCAATATCCTTTGGAAGGGTGAGTTTTAGTAAGAGAATCAGGGTATGTGTGCATACCAGGATAAATTAGATACATTAAAAATGCTACAGTGGTAGCACATGCCTTTAATCCCAGCACTTGGGAGGCAGAGGCAGGCGGATCTCTGTGAGTTCAAGGCCAGCCTGGTCTACATAGTGAGTTCCAGGACAGCTGGGGCTACAGAGAGACCCTGTCTCAAAAAGACCAAAAAAAAAAAAAAAATGCTACCGAGGGGCTTTTCCCTCCTGTAACATTTGAGGCACTAAATGATCTGAAGGGTTCTCATCTTTACTCCAGACTGTGTGGTTTAAAATACCTTCTGTTGACAGCATATATTATTTGTGAATCCTGAACCCATTAAAGTGCCTACATTAAGCTGGGTGTGGCTTAAAAAATACACAAAGATGCATTTGTTTGAAGTTTCATACATTTTGCTAATGTAAGCACTTTTGTTGGTTTTTTTTGTTTTTGTTTTTTTGTTTTTTTATCTTTTTTGGGACAGGGTCTCCCTGTAGCCCCAGCTGATCTGGAACTCACTATGTAGACCAGGGTGGCCTTGAACTCACACAGATCTGCCTGCCTCTGCCTCCAAAGTGCTGGGATTAAAGTCATGCACCACCATGCCTGGCACAAATGCATCTTTGTATATTTTAAATGCTATGCAAGCTTCTTTATTCCTACCTTTCTGGAAATGTAAGTACTGACTTGCCACATTTTCCTGCTCTAAGTTATGTGTAAAATATTATAGAATTTTACTTTCACTTACATAAATAGCTGGTTCAGAAATAAAAGCTTGTTTTAAGTAGCCAAGCAGTAAGAATTAATTTTCTCACAGCTGGGTGTAGTGGCCTTTGATCCCAGCACTCAAGAGGCAGAGTCAGGCAGATCTCTTGTGCGTTCAAGGCCAGCCTGGTCTACATAGTGAGTTCCAGGCCAGCTGGGGCTACAAGGAGACCTTGACTCAAAAAGACTGAAAAAAAAATTTTTTTAAGAATAAATTTTCTTGGACTTTTATTAGCGTCCTTTAGAAAAACTCCTAAACAGACCTATAGTCCTGGTATTCTGAAATGCTACAAAACATGCTTCTTAAACTTATTAACCAGTCAACTACTTCTAGCTGCCAAAGTTGATAAAAGATAACAATGCATATACATATATATTCATGATTTAAAAGTATTTCAGGAATGCTTGAATCTAGATAACCTCAAGTATGCTAAGAATAACTTTCTCATTGGGTATGTGGCACAAGCCTTTAATCCCAGCATTCAGCAGACAGAGGCATCCAGACAGACCAGCCTGGTCTACATAGGGAGCTCTAGGTCAGCAAGTGCTACAGGGAGACCCTATCTCAAAAAAAAAAAAATCAGTTACTGCAGAAAAGCGGGGGGGGGGGGAATCTTAGCATGTAATTGAGGCAGCAGCCAAAGGCAGATAATTTCAGAACAGTATTTTCCTTCTTTTTCATAAGCCAAAAGTAAGTGTAGAATGTCAGGTCTAAGCCATAAGCCACTTCAGTTTGATGATCACTTGGTCTGCTCCTTTGGATTAAGCTCCTCATACAACTGGAACAGTAAGTATTTCTCATCTATAAACCCAGATACTTGGTAGGCTGAGACAGAAGCTGGCCTAGGCAACAAAGCTGAAACCCTGTCTTAAAAAGAAAAAAAAATCGTATGGTCTACCTTGTACTATTATAGGAAGCAATAACTTGCCACTAAAATCTCTTTATCTTGAGTGTATGTTATGTACATTTCATTATTTCAGTATTACATTGTTAAATATTTTCCCATTAAAAAGTTATTAGTTTGGCTATATACATACTGTCCAAACAGTAAATCCTTAAATAGTCAGCATCCATTCACAGAGGGCACTGAATAAGACTGAGGAAAATAAAAAGCAGCTGTGTTTTTAAAATGTAAAATTCAGGGGGCTGAAGAGATGCCTTAGTGGTTAAGAGCACTAGCTGTTCTTGCAGAGGACCCAGGTTCAAATCCCAGCACCTACATGGCAGCTAACAACTGCCTGAAACTCCAGTTCCATGGGATCTGATGTCCTCTTCTGTCCTCCTCAGGCACACTGCACATCAGTGCACTTATATACATGCAGGCATAACACTCATACATATAAAATAAAAAGCAAAATTCAAATATATATATATAATGCCCTAATAAACTTAATATTACTTCGAGTGCATGTGCACAAAGAGACAAGAGAGATAGAATAAAGAAAATTAATCTACATGAGATAATTAAGGAACAAAATCAATTTTGCAATAATAAAATCTTGAGGTATTTAGTCGTTCAGTGGTTCCCCAGTGTTAGGGACAGAAAGTGATTCTAAAAGGACAATACAAGGACTGGCAAGACAGCTGGGTATGTCAAGGTATGTGCTGTTGCCAAGCCTGAGTTCCATACTCAGGGCCGGTGGAGGAAGGGTGAACCAGCCTCCTCTGGTTGTCCTCTGACCTCCTCACATGGTTGTGCATCCACCACTCGCGCGCACACACACACATACAAATTAATTCATTTCTAAACAATATAAGAGAACTAGGCCCAGCATGGTGGTACACACATTTAATCCCAGTAGAGGCATGCAGATATCTCTGAGTTTGAGGCCAGACTGTTCTACATAGTGAGTTCCAGGTCAGTCAGGCTACATAGAGAGACCCTGTCTCAAAAGAAACAAAAAGTAAAAGAACGATACGAGAGATCCTTGTAGTGATCAAAGTATCCCGATGATGATGGTGGTGGGTTCACACAGACTGAAACAGAGAAACAACTGGAGAGGCACTAAGCAATTGAAGCAATGGAAGCAACCTCTGTCAGTCTCAGCACCCTTGCTATTATGATGTCCTAAAGTTTGGAAAACTGTCACTGGAGGAAGCTAAATAAAAGACTTTGTTTTATTCCTTGCAAGTACATACAAATCTACAATTACCTAAAAAAAAAAAACACCTCCACTCTAAATGGCCCCCCACTACCACTACCAGTGAAACACAGAAGTAATAAACAATAAAATCCCACTGACAAAGGGAAGTGCCTGAGAAGCAGATGCTCCCCCTCAGAGCAACCTAGACAAGCAGACAGTGTCTAAATACTCTGGCTATGACAACGTGTTCTCAATTTGTTTTCAATGATGTGTTAATTTAAATTACTCTTAAAGAGCTCATCTTATAAACTGAAGATTTCTTAAGCAGACCATAGCTGCCTTACAGTTCAGTCAGTGGTTCTCCAGTCACCTCCTCCAGGCTGGTGCCCTCTTGAACTCTCAGCAGCTGCGGATTATCAGCAGGAGGCCCAGCACAAGACTGGGCCCATTAAGGTTGTATCCTGGGAGGCTCCTCACCCGAGGATGCAGAGTTAGAGAATGGGTGTTGGGGGGAGAGGCTTAAGAGGACCTGACACTCTCCAGGATATTTAAGTGGTTAAGGTTGCTGAAGAGAGACTTTTTTTCTTCCTTCAGTGGTATAGCCTCTGGTAAGCTGGCTCCGTTAATGTCACTAACTGAAGTCACTGATTCACCAAGCTGGAGTGATATGTGGTCTGACCTCGGTGCCCCATCTGGGTTTGTTGTCACCCACGGAAAACTCCCACAGCAGTGCTGGAATCACGATTGACCCACCAGAAGTAAAACGTTTCAGCCTCACGCCTTCCCCTCCTTCCCTCTCTCTTTCTCTTCCTTTCTCCCTCTCAGACTGAGGGGTAGAGTGAGGACATTGGAAGGTATTCCCAAAGCCAGGTCTTTACCGGCTTGGAATCTCTGGGAAGATTCCAGCACACCATTCCCCTCTCACTACTATAATGGGAGAACTGTAAAAAGCAGCCTGGAATTGCTCTGCTGTGTAGAAGTCAACATGATCAAAGAGTGAGAAGAAAGGGTGCCAGGTTTAAATGGGTCTGATTAGGGTGGGTTCCCGTCCATGTAAAATGACTTCTAGGCAGTTCACAGGGCCTTGATTCAACCTGACAATCCGCCTGATTACAATGAAGATGGGAATGATACCAAGCCCCTCACCCTCAACCCTCACCCCGCAAAGTCCTTTGGGAGGTCTGGGGGCTCTACAGGAGGAACTTGGCCACACTTTCTCCACCGTTCCCCAAAAGTTGAGCTGGAAGGGAGTTGTGGAGGCGGGCAGCTGGGGCGAGAGGAGAGGGACGTGGAGCTGGTGAGACCAGGTGCTGGGCAAAGGGAGGCTGAGGATGAATGAGGACTAGAGAGTTGAGGGTGGATGGGGATGAGGGCTCACAGGAAGCTCAGGATGAATGGGGATGGATGAGGATGAGGGACTGAGGATGGATAGGATGGATGAGGATGAAGAGCTGAAGATGGATGGGGATGATGAGGGCCTGAGGATGGATGGGGATGGATGAGGATGAGGAGCTGAGGGTGGATGCAGATGGATGAGGATGTGGGGCTGAAGATGAGGGGCTGAGGGTACATGAGGATGGATGAGGATGAGGGACTGAGGATGGATAGGATGGATGAGGATGAAGAGCTGAGGGTGGATGCAGATGGATGAGGATGTGGGGCTGAAGATGAAGGGCTGAGGGTACATGAGGATGGATGAGGATGAGGGGCTGAGGATGGATGGGGATGCTGCTGGTTGGATGAGCCAGGGTGCAGGCTCACCCGCATTCTGCAGCGTCTTGATGTTCTGGGGTCTGGTCGACGCCTGCTCCGCCACCATCCGCACGAACCGGGTCTGGGCATTCTGGTACAGCTCAACACTAGAGAGAGAGGCCAGGTGGAGCAGCCCGTCCTGTGACCACCCGTCGGGGCTCCCGCCGCAGCTCCGCCGCCGCTGACTCATGGCGCTGCGGGTCCGCTCTCAGCCACCTCCACCTCCACCAATTGCTCCGTGTGCTGGCACGCCCGGCAACCCGAGGGAACCGGAACGCAGCGATAGTGGAGCCCTGGCATGCTGTCACAGCCACGGTCAGAGGCGGTAAGGGTGCCCCGGTGTCACCTCGGGTGGCTCAGGCGTCCTGGACTGCACCTAGTGGGACTGAGCTGCCCCGCCACGGCAAACCCCACGTGCAGCCACGTGTCTTTTACCAGTGCAACCCGGTCACTTCTTTATAATGCAGCTCTTACACACCTGCCATCTGATTTCTGAATTCTTAGAGGGTCACAACAACCATGTTCACACCCTTAATTACACTACATTAGCAGCAATTAAGGACTTCTGGAGACCGGGAGAGAGTGCAGAGGAGAAATAATATGACAAATATCCTGTCTCCCAGGCTTTCCCCTAATTACTACCAATTTTGCTGTCACCCCATTTCAATGTGAGTTTTTAAAACTCTTTAAATTCGGGCTTCATAGTGTTGTTGAGTGATATTTCCAAGAAAGTCTTTACCTGGGAAGACCAATTTACAGAAGCTGAGCTCTTTACCCAGTTGTTTTTTAATCAAATTTAAGCACTGTACTAGCTTTTCTGTGAAAACTATGTACTAAATGTTTCGGTGACAGGTGTCAACTTTAAATATTTCTCTATCTGAAACTGCAGTTTCACCAGGTGTCCAATGGGCAGATAGCCACAGCCCCTGCAGAGCAGTGACAGACAGGAAATCCATGATAACTCTGCTCCAATACAAGGGAGTAGGCAGATTTAGCTGGTTCTTAGATTTAGAGTCCTCTACAATCACTTTTAAAGTCTTCACCCAGACCTCAGCTCTATGATGAAGTCCTGATATTTTGTGGAGCCCCCAGACAGCTGGGAAATGGACTGTCCATCAGGGAAAGGAAGGTGTGTGCTCAGTCCTTTCCTTGACCCCCCCCCCCCCCAGGGCTGGCACATGCCTTTTGACAATCCTTTCACTTAACTCTGAGGTCCAAGTTTCACAATGATTTCTACATTTTCCCAACAAGGCCTTTTAAAATAGATGCTGTTGTGTGTTCCCATGTAGAGATGAAGGGGAAAACACTAAGTAAATAATTAAAGTTGCAAATGAACTGTCCTAATTTTATTTTCAGTTCCTTGTTGCATTATGAAGAAAAAAAATCCCCTTAAAACTAAAAGGTCCCATTGTTTAGTTTCAGTCTTTACACAAACAATTCATGCTCCTAAATTACTACCCCTTGCTATTTTTAGTAGTTACTTTGCTATGTATTTTCAACTTCAAAATTGCTAAGAGCTCAAAAATCTACTTGTGAGCCGATACAGTTGAAAAGTTAAATTCAAATGGTATGCCAGTGATTTCAAACTGTAAAGCCTAAGTGTGTCATTAACAGTGCCCATGAGTTAAATTTAATGTCCTTATGAAACATCACAGAATGCCTCTTTCATATTTGAAGAAGTTGGACATATTAAAGAAGGTAGATCTTTATTTTTTATTCTGGTCTGCTTTTAAAAAGTTTTTGGAGTTCAATGATGAAATGTAACAATAATCATAATGTACATATAAATGCAATTGTTGGTAATTTAAATATAAAATACACTGAAGAGATTATTCTAACTGATAAAACTACTCAGTATTTTCTGGCCCAGGTTAATCAACTTTAAAACAAAATGCTTCTCTGTTTCACAAAGTTAAATGAATGTTCCATGATCACATATAAACATTTAGATTAACAGTTAAATGAACAAGAACTACTCAAAAAGACAAAGTGTTATCAAACCAAGATTATTCTTCTTAAAGCACTAGCTGACTTGAAACTACACATTTGATTGGGAATGAAATAGTAATAACTTGAGAAAATGTTTCACTGAAAAGTTTGGAAGCCTTTGTCTCCTATTGGAAAAGACTAATTACATAACTTCAAAATCATTTTTTACCTAATTTATGAAAATGAGACTGAAAGCACCAAAACAGAAAACCAGCTTTAAAATCTTGTTCTGTTTATCTTTACAAACCTCCTCTGAGAATCCAGAAAACTCCATTATCATGGGGCTATATGCTAAAAGAAGCTTTGCTAACTTTCACATACATGTATTTCTCAGCTCCTTGCTGAATTTTAAGTTAAAGTTTTACATATGCTAATCATATATCAGCAACCACATTTTAAAAAAACTGGTTGAGGCACCTAGAGCACTCATATATTTTCCTATTAAGTCTAACACAAAACAATATCACTGTGTGTCAGACATTTTGCTAATAAGAAAATGTCCATGTCTCCCAGGGCATGAGGTCTAGTAAGAGAAATCAGTTCACTCTGCAAGAATACAGTCTTATTAACTGAACAGGCATATACCTACCACTGTTTTAAGGACTGTAACTGCTCTGTATATAATTGCACTGTAAGTGCTTTGGGAGCAAAGATGGAGAGGGTGAGGATAAAGTAGGGATGGTGAACTCTGAAACATTTAAATAATGAAAGGCTTATTTTTAACAAACTATTATCTCCTTTATACAGATATGAAACCTTTTTTAAAAGAATTCAAACATGTTAGTATCTTTTCAATTATTCAGTTGGTTACTGAATGCAATTATTCAAGTTATGAAAATACAATAATCATTTTTGCTAACACTGAGTGTGAAACTACTGAAATAACCCCCTATTCACATAGAAACATTAGATACTCCATAACCACATTAGCAGACTCAGATATTGTCATGAAGATGAAAGCAAACAGGGTTTTCTTCAACATTTACATCCCTTATCTGAGCATAAGCAGTAGGAGCTTTAGGTCTGCAGACCATTAAGTGGTGCCATCAAATCTGTCAGCAGAGCAGAAGTGAAGACACTTGCACAGGGAGGGAAAGATTGACAGTTTTATGCATGCATTGTGTTTATGCCTTATAATAATTAGTCTTTGCTTTTCAAATCTTTTCAAGTCAAGTCCATAGGTTTTAACGGTCTCCTACTTCTTTTGAGGCCAAGAGACTGTCAAGCTAACCATGGCAGGGAGTTGAGCAGATCTAGCAACACCTATCCTGGGCTTCCTCTGCCTGCCTCGGTGAACGCTGAGCTTCCAGCATCTCAGTCCACTCCCAAGGAAAACCACAATCTGAGAGATTCAACATTTGAGTAACGTCACTCACCCTGCCCCAAAGGCACCAAGTAGCTTAATGATTGATACTTTAGAAAAAAAAAAAATCGACGTTTTAAATATGAGTCAAATGCAACATTGCCCATGGAGGGGAACACGCAGAGGGGAAAAAAACACTGCTTCTTAGTGTACGTGTGTGAATATCTTATTATTATACCAGTTTTCTAAAAGTTCTTCCAAAACCGGGTGTGGTGGGCCACGCCTTTAATCCCAGCATTCAGGAGGCAAAGGCAAGCGGATCTCTGTGAGTTCAGGGCCAGCCTGGTCTACATAGTGAGTTCAGGTCAGCTAGAGCTATAGGGAGACTGTCTCAAAAAACACTAACAAAAAGTTGTTCCAAAGTCAAAATGCTTAGAAAACGTTGAGAACTCTGCATTGGCGATCATCAGATTATCTCAACACTCCCTCAACACCCACGTTTTCCAAATTTTGTTAGACTTCTTTTAGAGACCGTATATATTCTGCTCCCCCACGTTAAAAAAATCTCATTATTATTATTGTTAAAAATTCTCATTATTTTGTACAAAACACAAGAGACAGAGCTGGAAAGGACCCCTCCAGTACTCGGAGCCGTCGAGCACGCTGTGCACACGCTCCTCCGGTTCAGGTCACGCCAGGCTGAGCGGAGGGGCCCACGCGAGCCAGACGCGCGCGGATCCCCGGGTGCCAGCTGTGGCCGCGGGGTCCCGGCGGGATGGCACTGCCCCGGATGGGCAGCCGCGTGCGGCGCTGACCAAGGGAAAGGCCCGACCTCCTTTGTTTTGCCCACTTGCCCCAAGTTTCCCCGACTCCCCGGAGCCTCCCGGGGCCCACGAGGGCGGCGGGAGCGGTGGGGTGGTGACCCGGGGACGCGGGGCGGCAGCAGGAAGGGCGCGCGGCCCGTGCGGCGGATGCACTGCGCGACCCGGCCTCGGCCTGGGACACGGCGCGGCTAAACCCAGCCAGGCCTCTCCTTTCACTTTGCTCCTCCGGCCAGGCCGCGCGGGCTGTCCCGGGAGTCTCCGCTCCAGCCTCCTTGCCCGGCTGGCTGCAGCACGGCCCGAGTGCCCCAAGGCCGCGGCGGATGGAGCCCGGAGCCCAGCGCCCAGGCCGCAGCGCCGCCGCAGCGCACGCTCCCCGCCGCTCGGCTCGCCTGTACTCCCGGGATACCCAGAACTGCGGCAGGGCTCGGCTCCCTGGCCCGCCACGCGGGGCGGGAAGCCGGCGGGTCTCCCAGCAGCTCCCGAGGACCCCCGGGCACAGGCCAGGACCCGGACGCAGGCCAGGACCCGGACGCGCGCAGTGGAGCCTGTGGCTTATTTAGGGGTGAAGCGGGGAGGAGGGGAGGAGGGAGCAATTGCAACTCAGTGCGCATGTGCGAGACTAAAACAGTTTTAAAAGAAACTTTTGCGGTTCTTCGTGTCTACTCCCAAGCCCAAACGTCTGGTGTATTGATTATTTTAGAGAATAATTGATTGTATCGCGCTGATTCCTGGAAATTACTGCAAAAGAACAGTAAGGGTTTGCGAGGGTTCTAAAGCCTTTGCAGCAAAAAACAGCGTCTGCGTTTGATCTGGGTTCGTTTCTTTAGAGGTGACGCGAGCAGACAGTAAACTCCGCTAAAAAGTGGATTAAATTCGAGGACTAGGCAGTACCACATCTTTCTTTCAAAGGACTTGCTTCCGCTGTCCTTTGCACCCGTGTCCTTTTCGGCCAGTTTATTGTTTCAAAAGTAATATCTGAATATCCTAAACTGAAATATTTTAAGTTCTATTCCAATATCAACTCATTTTATAATGAGAAAAAAACGTTTTCATAGAAATAATATAATAGATAAT